GGGTGTGAGCGCTCCCCCTGCCCCCCCTCAGCCCGCGCCCCGGCCCCAGCAGCTCACAGCCCCAACGAACTGGCTGCTGGCTCTTTGCTCCCTCCCAGGACCTAAGTACATGTAAAGAGTCCCAGCAAGATGGCCCTGGAGACCCTTGGCTCCAAGCGAGGGACAATGTAACAATGAAACCAAGTCTCACTTGTCTACAGCCACCCACAATTTGCATGTTACCATCAACCAGAGCAGCTCATCGGGAGGGAATCCAAGCAGGGCTTTCCCCCCACTCCGACACATGGCACCGTTTTTGTCTCCTGATATTTGATGTCGATAGACTCCGAGTAGAAGAACTTTCACAAAAGTGTGCGTGACGCACCGTGGTGCTTCGGGCTTTCTGAGCACCACTTATTCCGGTGCACTCGCTGCCATCAGTGGAGGTGGCACCAGGAAACCAGTCCTTGGGCATGGCACGGCGCAGTGAGTGGGGCGAGCATGCATGCCTTTCGATGTGGGCAAATCATCACTGGCCAGGATTACTTGACGAATTACTGTTGCAGCCCCAGTGAGAACAAAAAGAAAAACAAGTATGGTTTCAAGCCCCTATGTCCTCTGGGTTCCATACTAGAGTTTCACACACGCATAAGGTAGTACACTGAATTCAAGTCTTTTTTCACTCGAGAGCCCTACGAGACATCGGCTACAAAGGCACTGCCCCTGTCGTGGAATTTCGTTTTGATTGCATTGAATTGCATTGCATTGAAGAGTATCAGTACAGTATCCAGTTTACTGCTCCCCGCAGAACCGTCCAGCTCCTCCCTGCGGGCTCCCCACGCGGGGCAGAGGAAGGGCAAGTCCCTCCTTTCTTGCAGGCACCCTGCAGGAACAGGGCTCTTCACACGCAACTTTCTTTCACTTTCTCATCCTGCAGGAAGGACGTGAGGACCGAAACGTTCACTACTGTCTGGTTTTTGTGTAACGACAGGTCCTTTAAGGGGTCGTCGTCGCTTTGGTCCTTGGCAAAGTTTACAAATACCTGTCAAGAGAAAGGTGGACCTTGGTGAATACCCCTCGGCTTGTTCTTTCTCTGAGTTGCGGTTTTCCCTACGTGGGCATTAGTTCAGGTGGGAGAACACGAGACCGTGTATGTAGGTGAGCTAGAAAACTGCGGGGGAGGGGGGATTACTTGAAAAAGCGTTAACCATTTAAAAATGTAAAAAAACCATAGAACTCATAAGTGGTGGGGTGGCCAAGGTGTGGACCCACCTATGGGTGACTCCAAGTCTCTGCTCTACCTACCCTGGCAGGTATATAACTTTCCATTTCATCTATATAACAAAGCTGGAAGGTGAATATTCCTTAGGAAACCAACTCTCCGAGAGCTTAAGTAACTTGCCCAAGGGCAGGCGTGCAACCAGTAAAAGGCGAAGACAGAATTAAAATGATTGACCCCCAAATCACCGACGGCTCAATCACCCATCTCCTTTGGCTTCCTGAGGCTTGGTTAAAGGGAAGGGAGATGAAAACAAACATTTACTGAACACCTACTATGTGCCAAGGTCTGTCTGCTGTTGTTCACATGGGGTAAGGCACCTGGGCAAAATGCCCGGCCCATGGCAGGCACTCAATGAATGGCAGTTATTAAGATTATTATTACGCGCTGTTCTCATAATGACCCTATAACGTAGAGAGCATCACCGCCCTTTCCAGATTCAGAGACGGTTAGCAAAAAGCACCGCTAGCGGAGATGGGGAATTCAGACTCCGTCTCTGCACGGCCCTCGGCCCATGATGCGGTGAGGAAGGGGGCAGGACTCCTCTCCCTGCAAAGTAAACCTGTTCCTGCTGTGGAAGCTTACTTGGTCAAGTGTCGTCTGAGACACGGAGTAGTCCTCGATGTGGAGTCGCTTTTTGCTCTGGGAAAGGATGCTGAAGATCCTGGCCAGGGAGGACAACGACGAAGGCAGCTGGTACTGTAGCATGTTGCGGTGCTTCTCCTTCAGGACGCTGCCCGGGAAGGCGAGTCCAAAGAAGTCCTGGACGGGCTTCAGGTCCGGGTTGGACCCCGCTATGCGCACAACTATTGTGTAACCGTCTCCAAACCTGAAAGCAGAGAGACAAAGTCCAAATGGAAGATCCTCAGGAAACTTGTCAAAAGAGTAATTTAAAAAAGAGAGGCCTCCGACGGACCCAGGGGGAAGGAGCAGGTTATCGTCTCCTGAGTAGCTGGTGCGGTGCCACACTGCGGGCCTTAGACACACGACTTCACTTACTCCTCACCTGGACCCAGGATGCCTGGCAGGTGTCACAGAGACACTGAAGCCTGGGGACTTGGTCACCTGCCCGTGGGACAGAGCTCATAAAGTGGTGGGGCCAGGGTGCGGATCCATCTATGTGTGACTCCAAGTCTCTGCTCTACTCATACTGGCAGGTATAAATTTTTCCATTTCATCTATATAACGAAGTTGGAAGGAGAGTATTCCCTAGGAAACTGCCTCTGCGAGAGCTTAAGTAACTTGCCCAAGGGGGGCGTGCAACCAGTAAAAGGAGAATGCAGAATGCGAATGCAGCTCTCTTGGACTGCAAAGCCCTCATTCTTTCCACTCTTACCATTTTATTCGGTTTATTTCCCTTTATTTTAGAGCCACCATTTATACGCTCACAAAAAACTAAGTAAATAAGAACAAGCTTTCCCAGTAGGTACTATCCCAAAGAAATTATCTTTGTTACCTATTTTTCAGATGTTGGACGCTACCAAGACACCTGAACTTCCCGTTGACCATAATTGCCATCCTAGTGCAAAGGGCTTCACATTCTTCCATGCTGTGGGAAAACAGAGTGAGGTCTTAGCTTTAGCGGGATGCTCCTAGCTAGAGCCATCAGAGCATCCCACGACACCTGGCATCTCAAAGGAACGCCCCCAGCCTCCTAAGGCATAACCGCATCCTGTTACAGATACACGAAGATGTGGGGATAACACTGGGCACTGTGGTGCTGTTTACAATCGTGAAAAAGCTGGAAACCACCCAAATGTCTACAAAAAACACACCAATTAAGTCTATTACTATCCAGCTGAAGAAATGACAACTGACTCGGAGTAACGTTCACCATCTATTGTTGAATGAAAGGGCAGCATTATACTAAGCTTGCACTTTTGTTTATAAATCTCACACACAGACACGCACACTTGTGTGTATAGATTTGCATAAGAAAACAGCAAAGATTATTATTGCCCAGCGATAGTAATAGTTATCTACAAGTGATGCAATTCTGACAATGATTGCTTTTCTCTTTGCCTTTCTGTATTTTTGGATTTTTATACAATCATATCAATTGGAAATTTTAAAGTCACACAATGGAGAAGCCAAGCCAGGTCTCCACTACAGACCTGTGAGATGTCAGCACTACTGATCTCCCCTCCTTGACAACACTCAGGGCGCAGTTCCACAGGAAGCGCCGGGCCTTGGGATCCATGCCTGTGGTCGGTTCATCCTGTAAGTAGAATAAAGTAAGTCTTACTATTTACTGCAAAAAACATCAAGGACAGACTTGGTTTTAGATGCAGAAGCATCTGTGAAATAGCCTAAATTTTAACCATTCTAGTTATTTATTGATGGACCAAAGAACCAGACTTTACATACAAGAACCAGTTTGCTTCTATAAACGTCTCCTTGAAGCAGAAAACTCTGCCTAAATTTTTATGAAATTAAATTTTTCCAAATAAACAGAAATGGAAGGAAAAGAGCCACTTCGTTTCAATCATCTTTTCACAACTGACAAGTATATACTAAACATTCTTTTTGTCTAGAATCTCTACTGAAGTCAGTATAAGGTTTTGGTAAAATTCCTTCTCTCCTCTTGTAGCTCACTCCAGCTTAGCCTGTGCTGTTGTACTTGCTCATTGTAGAGAAGCAAATTCCAGGTCCAAATGGTCCAGATAACATTAAAGCCTCAATGCCAGGCTTCTTCCTGCGATAACTTCAATGCTCTTCTCAGCGGAGGAGAACAGGCCAGGGCCACTGTCCGGCCTAATCCCATTTCCCATCTATCGGCATGTAAGGAACTAAGGCCCAGTGCTACTTTGGGGATCTTAAAGCTGTGTCTACACTCTCCATTTTCAGGGGATAAAAACACAGGTGGTAAAAAAGAATGTTCCAGAGAAACGTCAAACCCCACACCCAGCCTCGACCACACTAGTCAGGGTTCTCCATGCCAGAGAAACAGGCCTGTAGCATCTCTCTTTGGGAGCATCAGAGGGCCTGGCAGAGCCACCTGGGGTGTGTCAAGGAGAGGAACAAGGGGGCTTCCCTCTCTTCCCCGAGGCTGCTCTGCTGTTCCTGGTCAGGGGAGAGGAACCTGTCATTGGCAAGCCCGTCATGCAACATCCCTGGACATACAGGAGTTTCGGGCCGAAAGAGTTTTCCAGCTAGTCACACTCACCAGGAACACCACAGGAGGCCCGCCGATCAGAGCCATGGCCGTGGAAAGCTTGCGCTTGTTGCCGCCACTATAGTTACCAGCGTATTTTTCTCCGTACTTCACGAGGCCCAGCTTCCGAATGGCCCACTCACCAACCTAGAGCAATAAAAAGCTGCTTGGCTCCTGTCCGGTTTGGTACCTTTACCACGCTTTCTTACACTTACACGTGAAAACTCTTTCAATGTGTAACACCAGATTCTATAATCATGCGCTGGCAAGTGTCACAGAGCTGAGAGCAGAATGGCAGGTCACCCTGCCTTCCAACACGTGCCTGTCCACAGCTCCCCACCCTACCGCCACCAGGGATTCCCACCCTGAAAGCAGGGGCACAGGGCCAGCATTCCCCACTGCTGCACCCATGAAGAAAACGGCCTGAAGCCGATGGCCATGTGTGAAAGTCAAAGCCTTCGGGTGCACTGTCAGGATGCCAAGTGAGGCAGGCTGGCGTGCTGGTGCCCACGTACCTTGCCAACTTCTTTCTCTGGGACTCCTCTCAAGAGGGCAAAGAACTCCACGTGTTCCCTTCCCGTCATCAGCTCCGTGATGGCATCAAACTGAGGGCAATAGCCCATGTTTTGATGTACTTCATGGATGTTTGATAAGATACTGCAAAGGAAAAAAACTGGTCAAGTTTGGGGCATTTGGAGATACTCTGCTCAGACAATCCTGCCTAATGTTCCTATAACATCTGCTTGTATGTGACAAAAGTACCATCGAGCACACCTGCTGGAAGAACAGCCTTTCTGCCCCCAGGATGCCAGCCCCTCCTGGCAGTCAGGCTTCCGGCCCCTATCCCGCCCAGTCCCTGCACGTGGCTCCCCCAACAATCTGCAGGCTCAGTCCCATTTTAGAATTCCTGGGTCCGTCCCAACCACAGCACCACCTTTACCAATAGTCTCAGTCACACAGCTCCGGGGCTGTAACACTAACTTCCATCCCAGACTCGACTCTGTGGTCCAGTCATATGTACCAAGTGCCTTGTTGCTCCAAAGTCGTCTCCATGGCCATTCAGATCCAGAGGAGGCCCTGCCACTCTGGGTGTGACTTCCCTCTGCACTCTGTTGCTCACACATTGACTCAGCCACAGCATGTTCCAACCCCCTTGGTCCTACTAAATATCCAACCAAGGCACCCTCCTGGGTTTTTAAGGTGACAGGAAAAAAATATACCTATAGACAGAATTTTATATACATTGGCAGGGTGGCATTTAGCACTATAGAGCCAATCTCAGGTTAAGAATCCCTGATGTAGGAGAAGCTCAGGGTCCACATCCAATTTGGTAGTTGCACTTCGGCCACCCAGACTGCCCCTAGCTTGGCCTTTTAGCAGTAGCCGTTCCTCTCTGCAAATCTAATTAGTACTTCCAGATCCACCCTTTTCCAGAATTATGACTGAGGCACCCATGGACACTGCCTGGCTCTCACAGCACTGCCCAGGCCAGTTCTTACAACCAGTTGCTGTGATAAACCTTAGTTTGGGCCACTTATTGCCTTCACTGTTATGTGCTCCAGGAGCCAGGTGCCAGGAACAACCCTGGGAGGCAGGTGTGCAGCCTTAGCCTGCTCGTCTAGAATTTCTGTTCTCTTAAACACTGCTACTGAAAAAACTGCTTAGACACACGGGACACATAAGTACAATAAGTTCCTTTTTCTTTTCAATTGTATTGGCCAG